AACATATTTTATTAAAGGGCATAAGCTTAAACTCAAATTCAAATCAGTTCATTACAGCCATAAGGCCAGATACACCAAAATTTCTAATAGTAGAAATGTAATATACAATTTTGTGCTACCCTCTGTACAATATGCTATCCTATTCATTAAATTTGGTTACTCATTTTCTCATCACTTCTTATAATATCATTTTTCTGTTTTATTTTATTTTAGATGTTCTTAATTATTTTAGATCCCATTAAACGTACATACATACATACATACATACATACATAAACTTATCTTTTTTCAAGACAAGGTACATATGAAAATAAAATGGGTAAGATCCTATGAAGATAGTGACCAATACCAAATATTGTGATAATAGACAAGGACCAAAGACAATGGTAATGATAGATATAGCAATGACAAGTGACAAGATTAGTAAGATGGATGAGAAGCTAGAGAAAGGGGTGGGCTCCTGATGGTTCAGCAGGGTTCTGGTGATCCTCTAGTCAAGGATCGCCAGGGTTCGGTGCACCCCCCAAATACCACCCCTGGCTGGCCCTGCCCATCCCTCCCCTCCCAGGAGTCTCCACGTGGCCCGTTTATGATTCCTGGTGAGTGCAGGGGCTGCACGGAGGGTCTGGGAGGGCAGAAAATGGGCCTACTGGAGGTTCCAGAAGTCTGGAAACAGTCTTTGAACCTTCAGAGGGCCTCCGGACCCTGGGAGAAGCTGTTTTCGCCCTCCTGGAGGCTCAAGGAAAGTCTCCAGAGCCTGCGGAGGGCAACCCACCCTCCCCACCATGGTGCAGGCAGCTGACTAGGCCATGCCCAGCTTGGTCACGCCCACCCAGCAACGGGGCAGCGAACCCGTTGCTAAAGGATCTGAAGCCCATCCTTGTAGAGTAAGGTGACCAGACGTCCCGCTTTTGGCGGGACAGTCCTGCTTTTGAGCAATTTGTCCCGCGTCCCGCGGCGTTTTAAAAAAGTCGCGATTTTTCATTCTGCCTCCTGAGTCCCGGCTGCCTCCTGAATCCCCGCTGATGGCTAGAGGGAAAAAAAACTCTTTAAACTCTTGCCGCGGGGCTTCAAAGGGCCGACCTACAGCTGATCAGTGTTAAAAAAAAATGAATAGACCCATGCCTGCAAAAATAGAAAAAACAGCCCCTGTTAACAGCTTCCGCTAGGTTAATTAGCTGCAAAAAGCTGCAAAAAGTTCCTGGAGCAGATTTTTTTCCCCCTAGCTATACTGAAAACAAAGGCGAAAGCGAAACTAAACCTGCAACGTGACAAAATGAGGCAGAGAGAGATTTCTTTCTTTTTCTTTTTCTTTTTCCTCACCAAAAAAGGTAGGTACAAAACTGCAAACAATGGGAAATTTTGGGCAAAAGAGGAGAGTTCAAGATTTTAAAACACAAAAGAAAAAAAGCTCTATTTAACTAGGGAATTGTAATAATTGAGATACTATTAATAATTGTATATTGTGTTGAAAGCAGAAATGGTTAAGTTGTGGTTTGGAGGAATATATGGGGGAAATTATTTGGTTTATTATTATTGGTAAATATAATTGATTTGTAAGAAATTGGATTGCATGGAAATAATTGGAATATTCATGTTCATATTGATTAATATACAAAAAAGATAGTTATATAACTAATTGATTTATATTAAAATGTTGAATTTGTATTAAACAACTGTATTACATAATTACATAATTAACCAATGTGAGGATGGATATAAAAATAGATGACAATGGGAAGGGGTATAATATAGAATAGAAGGGAAAAATTGAATTTGATTAAGATTAGAGATGAGGATGAACGGTAATATTGTTTTTTTTAAAAAAATAGATGAGGAATAAATATGGCAAAAAGGAAATACAGAAATTGTAAATTTAATTGAAATGACTAAACGCTGTTTAAATTTGTGAACCAGCCAAATATTCTGTTCAAAGAAAATACATTGTATGTTTGTATGTGTGTTTCTAATTATTGCCATTTATTCATATTTGTTCTCTTTTATTCTTTAAAGTTTAACAATTCATTCTTAATCTTAATATCTTTATATTTGCTTGGGGTTGGCTTTCTTCCCTTTCATCTTTTTTATTCTACAGCAATCTTTCTCCTCAAACCTACCACCACTCTCTTTTCTTTCCTTCTTACTTTCTCTTCCCCCCACCCTCTTTTTCTCCTCCCTACTTCCTCTTCCTTTCTCCTTCTCCTCCTCTCTTCCTCCCTCTCTTACCCTCACTCCTACTCTAATTTCCATTCCTTCATCCCTCTCTATTGCTGTATCCTTTAATGCATATGGACTACTCAGAGGGCTGAAAAAGTTATTTTTGACTGGTCCTCACACTTTTGACCAGTCCTTGAACTTATGACTGTCCTCACATTTTACATTTTTGCCCTATCTTTTCATCATGGTGAAGAGAAGCAGTTGTGAAATGAGTGACATGGTTGTTAAGAATGCTGCATGGGCATAAATATGAGGATGGTCATAAGTGTGAGGACCAGTCAAAAGTTGCGAGGACCTGTCAGAAATGACTTTTTTCAGCCCTCTGGTTAGTCCTTTTGTGCATATGGACTACTCAGAGGGCTGAAAAAGTTATTTTTGACTGGTCCTCACACTTTTGACCACCTCGAACTTACGACTGTCCTCACATTTTACATTTTTGCCCTATCTTGTCACCATGGTGAAGAGAAGCAGTTGTGAAATGAGTGACATGGTTGTTAAGAATACTGCACGGGCATAATATGAGGATGGTCATAAGTGTGAGGACCAGTCAAAAGTGCGAGGACCTGTCAGAAATGACTTTTTTCAGCCCTCTGGTTAGTCCTTTTGTGCATATGGACTACTCAGAGGGCTGAAAAAGTTATTTTTGACTGGTCCTCACACTTTTGACCAGTCCTCGAACTTACGACTGTCCTCACATTTTACATTTTTGCCCTATCTTGTCACCATGGTGAAGAGAAGCAGTTGTGAAATGAGTGACATGGTTGTTAAGAATACTGCATGGGCATAAATATGAGGATGGTCATAAGTGTGAGGACCAGTCAAAAGTGCGAGGACCTGTCAGAAATGACTTTTTTCAGCCCTCTGGTTAGTCCTTTTGTGCATATGGACTACTCAGAGGGCTGAAAAAGTTATTTTTGACTGGTCCTCACACTTTTGACCAGTCCTCGAACTTACGACTGTCCTCACATTTTACATTTTTGCCCTATCTTGTCACCATGGTGAAGAGAAGCAGTTGTGAAATGAGTGACATGGTTGTTAAGAATACTGCACGGGCATAAATTGAGGATGGTCATAAGTGTGAGGACCAGTCAAAAGTGTGAGGACCTGTCAGAAATGACTTTTCAGCCCTCTGAGTAGTCCCTATACACATAGCCATGGCCACCCGGTCACATGACCAGCTAGCCACGCCCACCCAGTCACATGGCCTCCAAGCCACGCCCACACAATAAGTCACGCCCAGAATGGTGTCCTTACCAATGTTAAAATCTGTTCACCTTACCCTATACACATAGCCATGCCCACCCGGTCACATGACCAGCTAGCCACGCCCACCCAGTCACATGACCAGATATCCACGCCCACAAAATAAGCGACGCCCACAATGTCCCTCTTTACCAATGTTAAAATCTGGTCACCTTATTGTAGAGAAGTACTAGGGCTGAAACTCAAAGGGAAAGTGGCCCTAGTGGCAGCAGGAGCACTCAAACTGTAACTGCTGGGAAAGTGGCTCCAACACGTATCTCAGGAAGACATCAAAGCTTTCTGTTCAGAGAAGTGCGGTGCTAGGAACAGCTAAGAACCTGCATGGAATCCACAAACTCCCAAGCCCCTAAGTAGAGAGCCTGAGATTGAGGTAGACACATCCACTAGTAAGGGGATAAGAAAATTAGAGAGGGGGAGGGATGGAGGGAGGGAGAGAGAGACAGAGAGAGAGATTGGAGATTAACAAATTCACAACCAAATGAAATGTAGTTTCATACGATTAGTGTTACGTATGTCATAGAAGATAGTATTTTTTGATCAGGTCCTTTCTCTCTTCCAAAGAGTGAGTTCTTCTTACATAGCAAACAAGTAGTGACAAATCATAGTTTCTAGCAATAAAAATTCACACACACACACACACACACACACACACACACACACACACACACAAAACACCTCTGCAATGAAGTCTCCCCTTTCCATAGTTTTGATTCCCTACCAGAGAGAGGCTGTCATGAACAACAGTTGTGCTTCACAAAAATGTATCCTTTTCTTTTTTTATTCCTATGTTTCTAGTGCTATTATAATAGAAATGTTTGATAAGTGTAAAATATTGCACTTTCAGATCTGTATTTCTGATTAGTTAGTCCCTATCAGTTTCTTTTCATTTTGGGGACTTGCAGGCTCATGGATTGCATTAAGAGGATGCTAATGCAAAGAGACATTTACTTTATTCCAAATACGTGGTATTGTAGCTATTTTATATGACCTCTATTTAAATTTACATATGGTAGAATACAAAGTTTCTCAATAGCAGCTGGCCTAATTGATGAAAAAAATTGGGCAAATATTAATTTGATATTGAATATGAAAGTTCCAGAGGATTTTGCCTTCCATAGACTAAGCCCTATAGCAGTGATGGCTAATCTTTTTGCCATCGCTTGCCAAGAGGGGGGGGCGGGGGAGGGTTGCACGTGCATGTGCCCACGCGCATGCACGTGCAACACCGCCCACCTGCTCCTGGCACATGATGGCCTGGTAGGCCCATTTTTCTTTCTTACCTGATTCCAGATCCTCTCCATTTATCTGGGAAGGGTGAAAACAGCCTTTCTCACTCTCTCGGAGGCCCTCCAAAGGCCTGAAATGGCCCATTTCCCAATTCCCAGTGGGACAGGAAGTGACATTTTTTGCTGTCCCCAGCCTCCAGAGCCTCTCTAGGAGTCTCTAGGAGCCTCTCTAGGAGTCTCTGGAGGCTGGGAACAGAAAAAAATGTCACTTCCTGTCCCACTGGGAGTCGGGAAATGGGCCCTTTCAGCCTCCGAAGGGCCTCCAAGGGAGTGGGAAAGGCTGTTTTCGCCCTTCCCAAACAAATAGAGAGGATCTGGAGCCAGGTAAGAAAGAAAAATGGGCCTTCCCCACTCCCCCAGGCCCTCCAGAGGTAGAAAACAGCCTGTTTCCCTACTTCTGGTGGGCCCAGAAGGCCCGAAAATCAGCTGGCCGGCGCCCGCATGCACCCCAGAGCTGAGTTGTCATGCTCACTAATATGGCTCTGTGTGCCACCTGTGGCACGGGTGCCATAGGTTCGCCATCACGGCCCTATAGTTTTCTACACTATGACTGCAAAACAGAAATTGACTAAACAAGAGTTTAATTCATTTCATAGAAATAACAGGGTGATTCACCCTTAGCGTGTGACCAAGATAGAGAAATGCATTCAAATGTCAAGATATCATCAGCTTTAAGATTTATTTACATTTATATCTCATGTGCTTGTTCAGAGGAACGAACAGCATACCTGGGGTATGTGGACTCCTAATGAACTATTGAAATTAAGTAAGAGTGGACTCCTAATGAAATATTGAAATTAAAATAGCATTTTAAACAGTTGCAGAACTAAAATGCTTAAAGGAGTTGGATTCCATGTGGGTAGAGAAGGCCAAGATTAGTCAGTTTTGTATTATAAAGAAAAAGATGCCTTTGTTCATTCTTTAACCATTCACACTATTTTACATTATGTGTATTGTGTTGTTGTTGGGTTTTTTTGTGGGTAGTAATGGAGAGATTAGCACAACCACAAGACTAATCACACAATACATCCATGTCCTTGGCTGACCCAGAGGATTTGCTGATTGGAAATCTGAGCCACAGTTCATTGAATTTGACTTAGATTTTATTCTTTCAGATTACTTTTGATACTTGTGGCAAAGATAGCATAAAGAAATTTTTGTCAATGTATTCTGAGCCTGTTTGATTATGCCCATTTGAAAGGCAGAATTACTTGATTTAAGAAAACCATTCTTAAGAAGTAAAAGCTTCCCTTTCCTAAGCATGCTGCTACACTTCACTTGCATTCAAATTTACTCGTATTGGTAAACCTTTTGGTCTAATCTGACCTTGACAAAGGCGAAGGTATTCTGCTGTATCCATATAATCCAAGTCACGATGGCCAGATTTACAGTATCAGGAACCATCATTTGCTCATTGGATTCCAATTCTAATATTATAAATTATAACATACAATCTTTGCCATTATTTGATTTCCAAATACAGCCTTTTTGAATATGCATTTTGTTCAGGTACATCTCAGGAATCTGGTGTGCATAACAATGGTGCTCTTTTCTGTCTCCTGAATTGTAACACCATGTGTCCTAGCGCATTTCTTCTTTTACTGGTTACGAATCCATATGCTTTATTTTGCAACAGACAACTGACATATAGAAGTGCCCAAGAATTCAGAACAAGCAGAGAAAACACCCACACTGCCTGTTTGTTGTGGGGCTTGGCATGTTGATGATGCTGTGAAGGAAGAGACAGCTGGCTGTTTAGTCATGCCAATCATGCAGATCACACAGTTGTAGAAAGTACAAATGAATCTCAGTTTGAATTGCAAAAAGAATAAAATCTACTTTGATGCAAGTCAGAGCTTATTATGCATGCAAGACTTTCACACCTACTAAAGTTGATTAATGAACTGTTTAAATTTGAGTTTTGATAGCCTCTGTCTTCATCAATATAACTCAATTGTATTGATGCTATTAGCTAATATTACCTCCCTGTTCTCCAAGGATCTGTATCACTATTTTTGCTACTGGATACTTTGGCATTAATATTTGCAGGCAATAGTATCCTTCCCCATATCAAAATAAAAGGCTTGCATTTACTATGGATAGTTTATCATCTGCAAAGTTTGAATAAGGAATTGGATCAGATTACCGAGTGAGCATTAGGAGATAAATAATTCTAAATGTAATCATTGGATTAAGCCAGGGTTTGTTAAGCAAGTCATCCTTACTTTGTTCACTCATACAGCTTTAGGACTTCTCCAACTGTGGGAGCAGTTTAGAAAACAGTTTCATTTTTTTTTTTCAGCAGGTCAGGTATATGCAAAACCACTGCCAAACCCATCCCATCCCCTGGGAAAGCCCAGGGCAGACTTATTCAGGTAAGATAAGAAACAAAGCCTAGAACAAGTTTTGTCACCATTGCAGTTTCACTTTAGCAAGACTGACCAAATTTGTATAGGCAAAACAGAAGAACTGTCAAAATTTGCCATATTTGTTTGTGTGTGTGTGTGTGTGTGTGTGTGTGTGTGTGTGTGTTACACAAATTCTTTATTATTTTCGGGAATTGTATTAAAAAACTTAAGGACTCCTGCATTAAGCCATAAACTAAGCCAAAGCTTTAAAAAAAAAACACTAAACCAAACCCAACCAAACTTACTACACCATGGCTGAAGGCCCTGTATGATCCAATGAAACAGCCTGTATATTCTCTGGCCCATTTCTTCTAAATTTTTCTTCATCTGATCACTGTAGCTTCCATTTTCTCTCTTTCTGGAACAACAATGTGATCAAATATGCAGTTTTAGCTTAAATAATTGCTACCTAAAGCGTGAGAACTTGTCATAAATTACCATCCCCTTTGGCTTCATCACATTCCAAGTTATAGCAGCTTCCTGGAGGCTGTTGGTGCCGTAGGTTGTGGAACTTTTCCTTGTAATTTGTCATCCATTTATAAACTTCATTTATAAATCTATTTATCATATTTATGCTTGTTCCTGATAAAACCAGCCCAAGGATTTTTTGAGAATTTTTCTCAAGTGCCTGAGGTTCCAGAAGCAACACTCACTGATAATAGATTTACTTATAATAAAAGTGCAAAAAAAAAAAAAAAAGCAAGGTTAGTTGGGAACAGGATGCCCTATGCAATGAAAGCAAAGGATTGGAAAGAGCAGCCTTGTCATTCTGACTGCTAATCTAATGCCTTAACAATAAAGATATAAGAAACCCAGTTCTGTTTCTGTTACACTTTAGTTTCTAGTTTTGCTGCAAATAACTTTTGAGTCTTACCTGTTTCCTGGGAAACCATAACAAGAGTTTGATGCTTCTCTATATGGACCCAGATGCCCTTTAAGGTCAGGTATGAGAGGCACTGAAAAAATAATTGCAGATGAGGTTTTTTCCCACTGTTGGCTTTCATTCCCTGGAATTCTCATGGATCAGAAGGGCTGAGTGATTAAGCCACTCAGTTCAAGGTAAGCAGTCATCTGATTCATAAAAAAAAGCCTCGTGATATTTTGGAGTCCATCATTTATATAATTTAGTCATTTGTTTTTTGTATTTTGTTGGAATTATTACAAGTGATCATTTTAACATGCTTATTAGACCTTCAAATATCTTTGAGATTTAATAGTCACTATAAAAAAAAGAAGAAATAAATGCAAATTAGCTGGGGGAAGATCAACAGAGTGGGCTCTGAGAATTTGAGAATGTTGCTGTTTCAGCCATTTCTACAGGTGCTGTATGCATGCAAAGTATACTGTTACTTCTACACTTTATGCCAGCATAATTCTGATCCTAATGAACAAGCTGCGTGGAACAAATGTGAAACAGAACTCATACATATGGCTATATAAAAGTATGTAACTACTATTGCTATCAAATGTGCAGCTTCCTTCCCTTATGATTACTCACATGCCATAAATTCATAAGCATAGTACAGCCAAAGCCTGAAAGCTGTTTCAAACAAAAAGCTATTATGACATGACACTATGAAATAAATGAATAATGGAATCATGAGAAATTATTTCACTATTTGTGGTTGATTGTGCTAGCAGCTGTTTAAAAATGTCAGTGCTTCATTGGTACTACAGAAGGAAGAAAAGATAGAATTGGATACTATCTGCATAATAACAGGTTTTTTATCCCAAGTTTCCTTGTGTCTTTTCCAATAAGCTTCATGAAGAAGTCGTTTTAAAAACAGGGAAAATTAAATGGAGTCATGCAGTACAAGTACCCTTGAGGCAGTTCCAGATGTTGTCACCTTCTTTCTAGAAAAGACCACAACTGTCAAGCAATCCCACCGATATCTAACCATGACAATAGAAGAGAATGCACCATGCTCAGTATACTAAATCCTGCTCATACCCCATAAAAACTAATACAGTTTGGCTCACATATTGTGGTATGCCATAATGTGGTTTGCTTGGATTTTGGCTGAATATATTTTATGAATAAAATCATCATGATTTCTAAGCAATGGTATATGACTTGATCGCATTGTGATAAACTATGCCTTTATATAATAGGAGAACCAGATCATCATCTCAGAATGGTCCAAAGGAAAGGAAAGGTGAGGAAATCTTCAGCTGGCCATAACTTAATGTAGCCACTCCAGGTTTAATTATACTTTTCATCTCAAATATTTATGAATTGTACTGTATTTTCAAATCTAAGACATTTGTGAATTTCTTTTGAGTGAATTTCTTCAAAAAATCATTTTCAGTTGCTGTGTTAAATTCCTTACCTTTCATGCTCCTAAATTATGCAATGAGACTGAGTCATCTGCTTTAAAAGGAGCCTTTTTATAATGTCTCCATAGCCAGAGGTCACCAGAGATAGGATCAAAATGAAGGTACCTGGTAATTCACAGCTTATTTTGCAATGAGTCAACACGGAAAAGACAATACTATAAGCTCAACTTCTTCATGGTTGATGAGTCAGGTTAACTTATGCAGATCACAAGGACTAGCTCAAAAATATTTGTTGCCTGAGGCTAGAAAAGCAAATCACATATTCAGTGTTTATTCTACAGTCAAGGTGATTTGTACCCAAGGCTGATTAAATTATTTTGATCCTAAAAATCTAAGCAACTTTCCTGGCCCAGTAATAAAAATTAGGGCTATCATTATTTGGCCAGTAAAAATTTAGATAATTCACTAAATGGAATTAGAGATTTCTGCATGTCTTATCTGCCCAGGTTTGGCAACCCTAGTAAAAATAGAATAAGTTAAATGCAAACTATTTCATACTTACAGTAGACACAATTAGTTTTATTGAAAGTTTTAAAAACAAAGAAAAATGCAAACAAATTAATATAGGTAAAGAAGAAGAAAGAGAAAGAAATAGAACAAGAAAGATACAAGGAAGTAGCTTCTAATAACTCTTCATAGCAGTTATAAGTAAAATTATAAGTTTACCTCTTTCTCTAAAGTTACATCAAACTTCTCTTCTTTTTATACTTTATCCTCACTTGTGGACCACTTTTAATGTCATATTTTTCTGAGGTGGGGAAAAAATAGGAACAGAACTGGCAATCTGCACTCCATTAGATTTTATGAGCAATGACTCCCAACTGCAGCAACCAGAAGTAAAAAGATTGGCTGTCATCTAACTTTTTTTTTTTGCTTCCCAGTTATGGTGAGGGCAATTTTACTAGAGGATTACCCTTGCCCTACTTCTGCTATACATTTTTTTAGTTATGTCTTTAGTTTGGATTCCCTTTTTTGGGTCAATGGCTCTTGCTGAGGAAGTGTTCCAGCCCTGCCTTATTCCTCAGCTGTCTAATTCCTACAGTACATTTCTTTCATCAGTGAATTCATCTTCTGCCCAATCAGCTCATTCTGCTCAACTGATTATTAGAGACTAGTGAAGGGATGCTGTAGACGTCATTCTTGTGATTGCTCTAATAACTGGTATTATGTAAGAACACTACATTCATTCCACAAATTCTCTAAATGGATATAATTATAAGAGGTTAAAATAGCTTACTGTAAATTAGGGAGCAAGCATGGTTAAAAAAATCAGTAGCCCATTTAAAGGAGTGTTAACTACAACAGTCTTCCACAGTTTAATGCACTTAAAATGGGTTTGGTTGCTATTCCAATCTTCCTGATTTATTGAGGCCAGCCATTTATTGACTGAGGAATGATGTGGGTTGTAGTTCAGTACATCTGGAATATATTACCTTTGGAAGACTGGAATACTACGATGACTATGTAATATAGTTTTTTAATACTCTTGTCTTAAGTGATATGTTCTACTTCTACGTTGAGGCAGACAAACTTCTTACAAGTTTGTTAAGGAAATTCTGGTGACCATTTTTGTTCGTGTTTACTTATTTTTTCTTCCACATTTAAGAATAGGAGCTACAGTAGAAGATGTCTCACTGAACCTCCCTGTTCTCAAATAAGCCCTTCAGAACATTTTTCAAGGGTCATTCTTCACTGCGTTCCTAATGCAAATGGCAGACCACCTGAAAACTACTCCTTTTATCTTTGATGACAAAGATAAAAGGAGCCCACCAAAACAGCATGGTAAGCCTGTCAAAGATGGAAAATACATGCTGTAGAAAAATATAATTAATGGTGAGAAGATGAAGTGTCTGATTTTTCCATAATGCTATAAATGACCATTTTAGCAGGATGTTTCAAAGCATCAGAAAGCAGGGGGGAAATGTCATATTACTGTTGGGGTAAATGAATTTGAATGTACCTAAATTGCATGTAGTTGCCATGGTCACAGAAACAAAATGGCTTATTTGCTTAGTTTTATATCCATTTTGCATCTGATCCTGTCCTTTCAATGTCTGCAATTGAAAACCTTGAATATGGCTAAGGCCTACATTAGGGACAAGGGGAATTTGTCTCTTTTCCAAGGTCAGGCTGAGTGATGAGATGATTCCCAAATTCTGTGGCTGTTCATACTGTTGCTATGAGCACAGCAGCAAAAATATTAAAACCAAAGGGCAATGGAAGCAGGCAGATGTACCCAGAGTAGTTTAGTATCATCCTGATTGCATAAAAGAATACAAGTAAAAGACAGATTAGAAATAAAAATTAAAATAAGCAAGAAATTGTGCTTGTAAATTGAGAACTACTGTAATCTTCATTGAACCTGAATAGTAAGCAAGCAGGTGACATATGAAATGGTGAATCCTTCCTCACTGGAGGGTCTTCGAGACCGACTTCTGCCACCAATAGCCTCCCACTGGCCAGTTCGCTCCCACAGAGAGGGTCTCCTCAGGGTGCCATCGGCCAAGTTATGTCGGCTGGCGACACCCAGGGGGAGGGCCTTCTCTGTGGGAGCCCCAGCCCTGTGGAATGAACTGCCCCCGGAAATACATAAGATCTCCAACCTCCGGGTGTTTCGTTGCGCATTGAAGACCCTGTTGTTCCGCCAGGCCAGGCTATCAACATAATGATTTTAAATTGGGGTATTTTAAACTTTTGGGGTTTTAAACTGGCCAAATCTATTTAATTATTTTAAATTTTAATCATTGTTATGTCTTGTGTTTTTAAATTGGCTGTACACCGCCCTGAGTCCTTCGGGAGAAGAGCGGTATAGAAATAAAATTATTATTATTATTTATTATTATTCATCCAGAGGTTGGATTTTCCATCAGAAATAATCTAATGTTTCTTCACTGACTGGGATATATGCTTGATAATCTCTAGCTTCCCTTCCAATGTATGATTCAGGCAGAATTGGATTTGATTTTTAACTATGAAATCCCTAAATTAGATTTTTTTTAAAAAAACACACACTATTTCCACACAACAGAGTCTGGGAGAAGACAATGGCTAACTATTTTTGTACTAATAAAGGAGGATATTGGAAGCTCAGGGTTGAAATAAAGAGTACTTGATGCTCTCTGAGCTTGGTTGTTTTCTTGCAGACATTTCATTACTCAAACCAGTGGTGGGTTTCTACTGGTTCACCGCGGTTTGGGCCAACCGGTAGTGTCAGTGGCAGGAGGTTCCTCCCACCTGCCAGGATACCATCACGGATGCTCTGTGCATGTATGCACGCTCCCAATTTCGAACCGGTAGCGAAGGTAAGTGGAACCCACTACTGACTCAGACTAGCACTAATGATGCTACCTAGTTTGGGTAATGAAATATCTGCATGAAAACAACCAAGCTCAGAGAACATCAAAGACCCCTCAGTTTTTGTGCCATTGCCAAGAAAATTGCATGACTGTATTTATGTGTCACTAGAAATTAAGCTGCACCTGAGATCATCTTTATTTTATTTATTCTTATACACTATTTATTGCTAACTAACATTCTTTTTCCTAAAACTGTTAGAATGGAGTGAGACACAGAGACATAGAATGTATCAAAGGGGAAAAAGATTAAAATTGTTCCATTCACATTGTAAATACTGGTAACACTTTTTAAAGCTGTAGGCGTCATTGTGAGACAGTAAGAAAAAAAGGAATAATGAAAGTTTTCCGTAGATTAAGCTTCATGTTGTTTCAAAAAAAGAGAATGACTTTTTTTTTTAAATGTAGCTTAATTTCTCACTTACATTGTAACTGTCAGAAGTATTTACAGAAAGAAACTGGCTGTTTAAAAGTAGGATGTTGTGTCTTTTTTAGTATAATCCACCAGAAAGCAACCCATCTGTCATACTATAAGCTGTGTACTTAATTGTTCATTTTTATGAACGGATAGTTAGAAATATTGACGAAATGGTTATAAAGGGCTTCTAGGATCTTTGGCCTGAAACTCACTGAGGCATTACTCTTTTTGTGACAGATTGTATGTACTAAAACTCCTGAGTGGTGCTCACAGATCCACTGACAGCTCTTACTGTTGACTGTGAACAAAGAGCTGCCTTTTAATTCTGGCCCTTTACCGCATTCCTAGGAAAGAGCAGCTGCTGCTACCATTTACTCCCATTTCAGCCATTCCTTCCTTGAGAAACTCTCACTATTTTTTTCTTTGTTCTGTCTGAGGGTATGTGATTTTGACTGCATTCAGACATGAAGGGGCTTGAAAGCACACACCCTCAAGAAATCAACAAGTGTTCCCCATGGCTGGGGAATTCTGGAGTTGAAGTCCACACATCTTGAAGTTGCTGAAATTGAGAAACTGATTTGGAGGGCCAAATAGATTAGCTACACTTCTTGTTCTTGCTTCTTCAAAAGATGTCCCATTTTGTTCGTCATGGGCTAACAAAATTATGGACAGAAGAATTTTGAATTTCTCAAAGGCAATTTCACAGAGTTGTGGTGCAGTGGCCTAGAAGTGGAGCTCTTGCCTCGCAATTAGGAGGCTGTGAGTTCGATCCTAGGTAGTGGCAGATATTTCTCTCTCTGGGCACAATGAGTAAATATCTGCTGTGAACTCTACATTGGCAACAGGAAGGGCATCTGGCCAATAAACACTCATCTCCATTCAGTTACCATGATTCCACCCCAATGCAAGGGATTACAAGGTCATTAAAAGACCAAAAAAGAAAGAAAAAAATCACAGAGTACAGTGGTCTAAAGCACCCTGTTATTAAGACCAGCTGCCTGCAATTACTGCAGGTTCGAATCTCGCCAGGCTCAAGGTTGACTTAGCCTTCCATCCTTTCTAAGGTAGGTAAATTGAGGACCCAG